CTGAAGAGCTGGGTCAAAGTAAAGGAATACCAAGAGATTGCTGGAGCAGGCCAACCTGGGCACCATATTGGGGATCTGCAAGTGGTCGGGCGAAGAAAGTGAGCAGTGAGGGAAGGGACTTCTCCATCCTGTGCTTTTTATTTAACGGAGTGACTGTAGAGCCAAAGGACTTTATGCTGTCTTTGTTTTCCACTCTAAAAAGGGTGTGAGATAGCAAGTCACTTAATTCGCTTTACTAGTTATAAATTGTAGAGCCATATGCTCATCGTAGGGTCCATTTAGCACAGAAGGAAACTGCACTTTGCCTTGTAGGCTTAAATGTGGGAGCAGAAGGGTCAGGTTTCTGTTTAGAGCAGTGACTGGCAAAGTAGATTGATGTGCAATAAAACCTGCTGGCTCTGATGAGGAAGGCTTTAGGAGTAATCTGAAGAATGAGAGGTAGGTAATGGCCGTGGTGGTGAAAAAAGGCAGAGGCTTGGTGATAGTAGGCAGGAGCCACAGGATTTAGTGATCCCTGTGACTTGGAAGTGAAAGATGGTGGTGATCTCTAACTTTCTGTTGGAGTGACTCTATGACTGGCATCAGCCAGCAGGTGATGGAGAATACCAGATCTGTTTGACAGCTATATTTGAAGAAACACCTTGAGGTGGCTTCAACATGTTTTTCAGTAGTTGTCCCCTACTTTTCCAAGGAGAATCAGAGCAGCTCCAGTCCTGACAGCTACCAGATGCTGAACATGGTGACCACTTTATATTGAGGCCCCTGTCTTTGCATTAAGGATACTAGTGCACATCCCACAGCTATGACAAATAGAGAAGGGAGGGAGGACTGTGAAGACCAACAGTCTACATGTCCTAAAAAATGTCAGCCATGCAGTGGTGGCGCCCATCTTTGATCCCTCACTCTGGAGGCAGAGGTAGGCAGATCTGTGTTCAAGTTCAGCCTGATCCGGGTTCCAGGACAGCCAAGGCTACACAGAGGAAACCTTAAAAGTAGCTAGCTACAGGCTCAGGGGGATAACTTAACTGGAGAACAGTGTTTGGCCATACAAAGCACCTAGCACTACCACTGGGACAGGGCAGGGTCAGTAGGTCAGTGTTAGAGAGTGCTCGCCTCTTAAATTTCAGGCATATTCCTTGCATTATCAAGTAGCTGTGAAGCACACACTCTTCCACCATCATTTTAGCCTCCCTCCCTCCCTCCCTCTCTCTCTCTCTCTTTCTTTCTAAGTTCTCATTAAGTAGCTCAGCTGATTCTTTTGCCTCAGCATCCCAAGGGCTGAGATTGCAAATGAAATACTTAGAAGTGTTGATTGTCTTTTACTGTGGCTACGTGTTATTTTAGTGCATGTCTTTGTAACTCTGAGTAAACACAAGGTTTTTGCTAGAGTTTGTTGATGTAAGCATACTGGTACATTTATCTTTATACACGTGCTCATGTATACCTTTACAGGCTTTTTATTGCATGTATTGTACGTGTGCACTTGCCACCACATGAGTGTGGAGATCAAAGAACAACTCAGGAGTTTGTTCTTTATGCTGGGTGAGTTCCAGGGGTGGAACTCAAGTTCATCAGTCTTAACAGCAAGTGCTGAGCCATCTTGCTGTGTGTAATTTAGTTTTTAAGAACAGAAGTACCAGGTTAAAGAAATCTTGGCAAACTCAGAATGCTTTATATTCCTCCCTTCCCTCCCTCCCTACCTCTCTACAAACATACGTGAGCATGTGTGTGTCTGTCTCACATGTATGTATCTGCATGGGTGTATGGATGTGGCACATGTGTATATATGTTTGTGGAAGCTAGAGATCAACTTCAGGTCTCTTTCTCCATTCATTCATTGTTTATTTATTTATTTTGGTTTTATGAAGATAGGGTTTCTCTGTGTAGCTTTGGTGCCCATCCTGAAACTCTGCCTCCCAAGTGCTGGCATTAAAGGCGTGGGCTATCCCCACCCCCACCCCCTTCTCTCCACCTTACTTTTGAGAAGAGTCTCTCACTGATCCTGAAGTTCACCCACTAGCTAGCTGGCTCCAGGGTTATCACCTCCAGGGCTGAAGTTACAGTTGTGCTCTACCACAGCTGGGGTCCTATAGGTAAATGCTGGGTGTCGGAACTCACATCTTCAAGCTCGCACTGCTCACACTTTACTGAACGATCTTCCTGAGCCCCTCACGTTGTCTTTTCAAAAGACTTACAGTTTATGCTTATAGGTTTCATTGGTCGTCCACTAATAAAAAATAATCATTTTGTTGAGCATATTTCTCAATGTTTCTTGAATTAAAGAGTTCCCATATCAACATTAATTAGGTATTACCTAATTTTTTCATCATGTGTAAACTGAATAAAAGTTGTATCTATTTTATTGGGAAAAGAGCTTGTGACTTGGTAACTTATGTCAGTCTACTTGAGTATTTTGGTCGTATCAGAATGTCCTGGGGTAACAAATAGCATACTGTCTTTAAGTCCTCGTACTCTAGACAGTTCTTGTCCCTCTACCTCAGGGCCTTTCATCTCATCCTTTCTGTCAGTTTATTATCATATTTCTGATGGATTTCTGTCTTGACCTGAACCTTGTCATGTCATTTCTTTCATAGAAGGATATAGGCGGAGTTTTCCTGTTGCATAGCTGCTCTCAAATAATCACCCAGAGGCTTAATATTACAAATGCTCAGCCAATAGCTCAGGCTTGTTACTAGCTAACTCTTACATTTAAACTAACCCACCTATGCTTTGCCACATGGCTCGGTACCTTTTCTCAGTGCAGCATGCCCATCTTGCTTCTCCCTTCGTCTCCTGGCGACTCCAGACTCCCCTTCTTCCTCCCAGCCATTCTCCTAGTCTGGCTTTCCTGCCTAACCTTATCCTGTTCAGCTATTGGCCAGTCAGCTTCTTTATTAAACCAATCACAGCCACAAATCTGTACAGTGTACAAAAGGATTATCCCACAGCTGAAGGATCCTACTTGTATTTAGAATCGGCCTCCACATAGTGGACAGTGCTGGAGAAAATGCTGCCTCAATGCCAGTTTGTTGTTTGATATAGCTTTTTCTAATCATTTCTCCAGATTCCTGCTGTGTATTCCCTTCCCTCCACTCTCATTCGCATAGCTCTTTTTACCACATCTCCAACAGCTTGCTTTTTCTTCTTTGAACCATGCCATCTTTATTCCATCCCTTTTTTCTTCTTTCCCTGCAGCCTTCTCCCCCACAGAAGGACAACAGATGGTGATCTCTCTTTGATTAGAGATCTCTTCCAGACCTCTTTTGGGGGCAGGGGGCGGTTCAAGACAGGGTTCCTCTATGTAGCTTTGGAGGCTGTCCTGGAAAGCTCTGTAGACCAGGGTGGCCTTGAACTCAGAGATCTGCCTGCCTCTGCCTCCCCAGTGCTGGGATTAAAGGTGTGTACCACCACTGCCGGACTTCTTTTTCTTCCTTCCTTCCTTTCTTTTTCTTTTTCTTTTTTTCTTTTTTGGTTTTTCGAGACAGGGTTTCTCTGTATTGTCTTGGAGGCTGTCCTGGAACCCACTCTATAGACCAGGCTGGCCTCCAACTCAGAGAACCGCCTGCCTCTGCCTTCCGAGTACTAGGATTGAAGGCGTGCGCCACCAATGCCCGGCCCAACTTCTTTTTCTTTAAGAATGTGTATGTATACATGTGTCTGGAAATCCAACCCAGGGCCTTTGCTTGCTAAACAAACACTCTACCACTGAGCCATATCCTCAACCCTACTTCTAGGCTTTATTAAACGAACTCTGTACTGTTTTACTACTGAGCGTCTCATAACTCCATTCTGGTTAAGCCTGGCCCCTTGGTATCCTTTGGCAGTTCTGTTTCCACTGTTAGCTCATCTACTTGCTGTGCCTTAAAAGACTCTACTCAGGATTTTGTAATCATACAGCATGCTAACAATTTTGATCTGTCTTGGAAGTATTCATTGCCACTGAAAATGACTCCTTTCTATATCAATCCATTCTGTATGTGGAGATTCTCCAGAATTGTCTATACAACTATCCCTTAGGAGTCTCTACTCTGCTTTGACTGCCTTTAAAACAAATTTTAGTGCCCCCCCCCTTTTTTTAAATATGTCTGGGTGCTTGCCTGCATATAAGTCTGCACACAGGCTAGAAGGCATTTCCTAGAACTGGAATTAATATATGGTTGTGAGTTGCATTGTGTGTGCTGGGAATCTCACTTGGGTCCTCTGGAAGAGCAGCTGCTGAGCCATCATTATTTATTTTTTGAGACACAGTTTCATGTAGCCCAGGTGGCCTTGAAGTCAATAAATATATTGTCCAGGATGATCTTGTACTTCAGATATAACTGCTTCCACCTCCCAAGTACTGAGATACAGGTGTGTACCACCACACCCAAATTATATGGTGCTAAGGATTAAAGCCAGGGCTTTGTGCTACTTTGCAAATAAACTAAATTCATGGTCTTTCCCTGCATCCCCACTACAAACTTCATTTGAAGTCCTGCACTCTTGGTTCTTGATATGAGGTGGCATGCTAAGCCAGAGATTTGGTAGTCATAATTAGTCACTCCCTCCTTACTCATCTACTCTACAGTGCTGTACTTCCTGTTCTGACAGAAGTCGGCTTTCCCGCAATCATTCTGTTCCAGGCAGAATTGCCCTGTTAGCTCTCCTTTTCAGTAAGTCTCCAGTGCTTTGGATTTATTTTCATGAAAGTGTTCAAAGCATCAGCTTATTATTTTCTTTGTTTTTAGTTTTGTTAGTCTTGTCTCACTGTGTAGCCCTTATTGGCCTAGAACTTTCCATCTCAGCCTCCCTGGTGCTAGTCATTGTGCTTCAGTGAGTTTTGCTTTTTGAGACAGCATTTTGCTGTGTTGCTCAAATTTGCCTCAGAATCTGTTCTGCCTCGGCCTCTCATATGTACTGAAATTATGGATCTGTGCATCCATGTCTCTATTTTTTTTATTGTCATCACCTAAGTCAGACATGTGGTTCACGCCTGTAGTTGTAGCACTTGGAGGAGTGAGTCAGAAGACTTTAAGTTTAATTCGAACATGAGGAACATGGTGAGACTGTATTTCAAAAAGGGGAAGGAAAGCACTCAGGTGGAGGCACACAATGAAGAATGACCTTAAGAGTTTGAAGTCAGCCTGATAAGCATGGCAAATCCTGCTCCCCCCCCCCCAAACATTTAAATCCCAGCACTTGGGAATTGGAGGCTAGCCTGGTCTGCAGAGCTAGTTCCAGGACAACCAGAGATAACGTAATAAAGAGAAACCCTGTTTCAAAGCAGAAGATGACTTAAAGTTAGCCAAAGGTGTGCCTCAGTGGTAGGTCATTTTCCTAGAATTCATGAATCCTCAGCCCTGCAAAAGAAGAAAAAAAATATAATAAACAAAATGATGAACTCTCATACTTGCCTTCACTGATACTCTCAATTTATCAATGTATATATTTTTTTTCTTACAATAGGTGAAAAACCTTTTGAATGTTCAAATTGTCATGAGCGGTTTGCTAGAAACAGCACTCTTAAATGTCACCTCACTGCATGCCAAACTGGAGTAGGGGCAAAGAAGGGAAGGAAGAAGCTTTACGAATGCCAGGTATGTGTGGGTGTATTTTGTTCTCAAAGAGGAACTTACTTGCAGTCACTGGAAGTGCAGACTAAATAGTCTAGACTCACAGGGTTGACTTAGAATTTTTGACTTGACAGTAGTGCAAAAAGTGTACATGTTCAGTAGAAACCATTCGTGGGATTTTGAAATTTGGTCTTCTCCTGAGTTAGTGATACCCGGTAAGACGTTCTCTGGGCAGCAGCAAGCCTCAGCTCCTAGTGAACTGTGCAGTCACAGTAGTACACAAAACTGTGTGGTCTCAGAACAGCTGTAATCTGGGCAAAGCAAAATTGTAAAATCCTTAAACACTGAGGGGTTCTTAACTTCAGCAGCTCTTGACTATGAACTTTGTAGATGACAATGTCCTGTTGCAGTGTCAAAGGGTTGGACATGCCTGTTTGTGCTACTGTGGTGTCTGGTAGCTTAGGTGCAGGAAGTGCACTTTTGCTACCGCATTGCACAGTGAATAGGCATGCAATCCAAGCAAATAGAGCCTCAGAAAGACTTGGGAATAAAGAAAAGCTTTTTACTTTGTAGGGTTATTAGAATTTTTTCTTTTTCTTGAAACAGGATTTCTCTGTTAACAGCTCTAGCTGTCCTGGAACTCACTCTTTAAATCATGCTGGCCTCAAACTCTCAGAGATCTGCCTGCCTCTGCCTCCTTAGTGCTGGGATTAAAGGTGTGTGCCACCATGATCTGATGGATTATTCAGATATTTTTATTTGTTTTTATTCAGTCCTAGATGGTGGGTGTTAATAGTACAGTAGTGCTCATGGATATGCAGGTTCAAAGACAGTCGCCATAGCCCAGGCTGGCCTCCCTCCCTTTGTAGCTGAGGGTGACGTTGAATTATGATCTTCTCTGTCTGTGTCTTCCAAGTGCTGCGCCACTTGGTTTGGTATTCATATATATTATTGGCAATGGGCACACGTGCCGCAGTGCGCGGAGGTCAGAGGATGATTTGCAGGAGTTTATTTATTCTCTTTTCACTGTATGGTTCCAGGGATTGAACTCAGGTCCCCAGATTTGTTGGCAAATGCCTTTACCATTGAGCTACTTTACCTGCCCACAATTAGTAATTTTAACCATAGGAACTATTATTAGTATCTGGGAGAGCGACAGGAAAATCAGACAAGGTACAACAATGGTTTCTTCCATGATTAGTATTTTTTTGTGTGTCCCAAATAATGTAGTGGGTCTAAATCTTGAAGCTGAAGATTAGACCCAGTACCGTGCCTTGTTTATGTTTGGTAGGTTCTCCGCTTAACTAATCTCAACCCCTTAGTATATTTTATGGAGAACAAAGGTATTCACATTTACTTCAGTTTGATTATAAGTATTATTAACATACTGTATTTCGTGATTTCAGGTCTGTAACAGTGTGTTTAACAGCTGGGACCAGTTCAAAGATCACTTGGTAATACACACTGGAGATAAACCCAACCATTGCACTCTGTGTGACTTGTGGTTTATGCAAGGAAATGAATTAAGGAGGCATCTTAGTGATGCTCACAATATTTCAGAGCGTATAGTAACTGAAGAGGTCCTTTCAGTAGAGACGCGTGTACAGACTGAACCAGTGACGTCAATGACTATCATAGAACAAGTTGGAAAGGTGCACGTGTTACCACTGCTTCAGGTCCAGGTGGATTCAGCGCAAGTCACCGTGGAACAAGTCCATCCAGATCTGCTGCAGGACGGCCAAGTGCATGACGCACACATGAGTGACCTTCCCGAGCAGGTCCAAGTGAGCTATCTGGAAGTGGGTCGTATTCAGACTGAAGAGGGCACTGAAGTGCACGTGGAAGAACTGCACGTTGAACGGGTAAATCAGATGCCAGTTGAAGTTCAGACCGAGCTTCTAGAAGCTGACTTGGATCACATGACCCCTGAAATCATGAGCCAAGAGGAGAGCCAGCCTAGCCATGCAGACACTGCCGAGGCTGCCATGGAAGATCACGAAGATGCTGAGGGGTTAGAGACTAAACCAAGAGAATATTCCCAAGCAGGAAAAGCAGAGAATGACAGAACATCTATGCCGGTTTTAGAATGAAATAACAATTATATTTTTAAATTTACATTTGGGGTAAACTGATGGGCAGTGTGACCTTAAGCTATCAGATAAGTGGACCAAAGTTAAACTATTTCCTGTTGTGCTGAACTGTTTCTATGGAAACAGACTGATGTCCTTCCTTCTACTTTATGCCACAGAGTGGGAATATTTCTCATAATGAGTGAGAGCTTTGAGAAGTATATTTCTGGTAACTTAAATGAATTATATTCTTATTATATAGTTGGGTACGAATGCATCTATTTTCATTGTGGTAAGGGTCTCCGTATTCTCTTCCCCGGGTCATGTCCTTCCTTAAATTCTTTGCATATTATAAAAATCATACATAAAACCATTAGAATACATACGTTTGTATTCTAATGCATGTTAGGAAATTGAGTATGTAGGCTACACAAAGCTGCATGAGGGAAGTGCATTGTTACTGTGCAGTTAATGTGTGGGGTCGGGCTGGCTTTATTTTGAACAACATTCTTGTCTATCCAGTGGTTACTAATGCTGTCTCCAAAATAGAAACAGTGGTGGCAGAATTTCTAGAATGTTAAAGAAAGGGGGAAAAAAAAACACCCTTGTGCCTTTTCAAAGCCAACAAAACTTCAGTAAAACATCTCTGGTTCTTTCAAAGTTTGTGTTTTAAGGAGCAGTGTCAACTGCTCTGGTACTTGGTATTTTTTGCTTATAATGACAACTACCAATTCTTTTTCCTTTAAGTTACATTGAAATGTTTTCATTTAACGGCAGCTGAAGGGCCATTTTCAATTGGAAAAATTCATTTACATCTGTGGTAAACTTTATTTTGATGAGAAGTTGCACTAGTATTTTACCACCAGATGAAAAAAAATTAGATGAGCATCATTTTAAAATTAATGTATTTAAAATAAAGTACAGAGGAAAAGTATGTATATAATATATCAGGCTTTGTTTTGAATGGAATCTTTTCCCCCAATCCTTAATGTAAAGATTTTGTGCTATAACTTTTAAAGCCATACAAATAAGAGTGCTAAACTGTGGACTTAAAAGTAGGTGTGTAAGTATTTTTAATCAGTATTACTTGGAAAATAAAAATATAACAACCACAAAATCAATATGCTATTTTCTTTACCTGTTAAATACTGGGAGATATTTACATTTTAAAGTAAACTTTAAAGTTATGTGTTTGTGACTCTTTTTTCTCTTTTTAATTATTTTATTTTTTATGTGTGGGTGCTTTGTATGTATGTGCACCATGTGCATGCCTGGCACTTCAGAAGCAGACGATTCTTGAACTGGAGTTAAGAGATGGCTGCGAACCGCTACATGGGTGCTGGGAATCAAACCTTGGCCCCTTGGAAGAACAGCCAGCGTACTTAACCACTGAGCTATCTCTCCAACCCTCTTATTTTTTTCATTACCAGTTTGTTTGGAGATATGTGTTTTTGTGACTATAGTAACATGGCTCAGTACAAGGTTGTTAATACATCCTTCTAATCCAAAAATTAGCTAAAAAGACAATGAAACAAGTTTATACTTCTTAGCTGCACAACAAGAAGTGTTTTTGTTTTAGTAGTGCCTATTTTAAACAATTTTCTCTACTTTTTAAAGTGTAAGTTTAAAGGATCAGTTCAAGAATACTTTTGGTAATCCTGGCATTAAGCGTGACAAATCACAAAGTATACTGAAGAAGTGTTTTATGTCACTCAAGTTGGCACATTCATATGGAAATATGAAAGTTGTTTGTTTATATTAGATTCAAAACAGGTTCTAGAGACTTGAGTAAGTTTGCTCTGTTTGGCAGTTGAGTTCCTACTACAAAGCTCATTTATATTTTCTTTGATAGAAAATCTTGAGAGGTTATGACACGTTTCAGAGTGAGCTGTGAGTATATGCTTCAACTCTGGCAGAGCATGACCGCAAATATGTCAGTTACCAACTAGTGCCTAGTGAATTTTGCATGTTGTAAGCAGTAAGCCAAGGTATGAAAGTTTAAACACAGTCCTCTTTTAAGAGCTGTGATCACAAATGGATCAGAGGCAAAGACACTTCAGGGTTGAAATGATCACTTGAGTTTCTATATTTGGCACATTTAGAGGGGCAGCCAGAACTCACATTCCTTTGCCCAAAAGCTAACATGTTCAGGATGCAGCTGGATCTGACTGCCAACGTTGAGGAAAACAGCTCACTAGGGATAAACTGTTGGATGAATGTGCTTTGCAGTTTGCAAAATATTTTGCATATAACAAGCTCTTAAAAACAGATCTATATTTGCTTCAAGTAGTAAATTGGGTGCTTATTCCTAGAGTGTTTTCCACTTATTTCCCACGGGCCTTTAAGCTTAGGTCTGTCTAGAGTGTGGGCAGCTGCTCTGTGGGGTACAGTGTTTGCATGATAGAACTTATGTCTCCCCTACTCACTGAACAGCAATTCTCAGACACCAGCTGGCTGTCCAGCAATTCAGTTCTGATTACCCACGATTAGCGCCGAATCCCCCAAATTAAATGCTTCACAATTAATTTACATCTTCAATTAACAAGAGTTGTATGAAGTGGCAATGATCATTAGTGTTCAACGGAAAATAGTCACATTGCCATCACTTCACACACAGATACAACCAACTGGCTGGAAGCGTTCGTGCTCGGCCACTCGGCCAACTGTGAGTTGGGTAAGTCGTTGAGCCCCACCCCGAAGCTCACTAATGCCCTGAAACACCCAGGAGCCAGGAAAGCACTGTACTTCAAAGAAACACTTGCACTGCTGCGGTAAGGGTGCGGCTCAGAACAGAAGAGATGCCTGCTTCTCCAGGGCGAGGATGTGGAGCTTTGAGCTGTTGCCGCCGCCAGCACACAGATGTCTTCACCAGCCTGTGAGCTCCCTTGTCTGGAGCTTCCAGAACCTGGGCTGATACAGTTGTCCATCTTTGGTCACTGAAGTCAGATCTACCTGTAGCTCCTCTGTTTACTTGGGGCGGGTGTCATCTGAATGAGGCTGATTGTTGTGTTACTATCGACTCCTCTGATGACCAAGGGGTTATTCTAAGTTACAGAAGACATGCTCCATCAGGTTTTAAGGTTTCTGAGGTCTGCTATACTCGGAAGCAGGTCCAGAGTCTTTTTTTTTTAATTTTTTATTTTTTATGTATACAGTGTTCTGCCTCCATGTATGTCTGCAGGCCTTAAGAGGGCGCTAGATCTCATTACAGATGGTTGTGGGCCACCATGTGGTTGCTGGGAATCGAACTCAAGACCTCTGGAAGAACAGCCAGTGCTCTTAACCTCTGAGCCATCTCTCCAGCCCCCAGAGACTGTTTCTATACCACCAGATGTTCAAAGAAAAACTAAATCCTAATGTTAATACATTTAAAAGCCAGACATCTTAGACATATACAAAACCAGAAGGCTTTCATGGCTTAAATAGCTAGCGAAAGTTGCCATTGTCATGAATTCTTAGGAATATTTTCAGGAAGATTTAGCACTTCTGCTCCCATCACTCTCAATTGAGGATTAATGGCTCTCAGGCTTACAAGTGTCCATCACTAGACTGTACATTTTATATGTTGAATAAGCCAACAGCAATTGAGGCCTAATGTAAAATCCTTATAAAGTGGGTTTTAATTTATACCTGCAGTTGAACAGGAGTTGTCTTTAGTGACAATGTGCAGTCCTTAAGGAGTTTACTTGGAAGTAGTCTTAAATTGAGAGGTTAGCCTTTGAAGTGATTAACACTGTGCTAATTACATCTGGAGAAAGACCCAGACAAAATGCATGTCGTGCATGTGTAATGTGCTGAACTGTGCTGTACTCCTGTCATAAAGGACCCAAACCAGAATGGGTGCCACACTAAACCTGCTCACCAGCAAGTAATGAAATCCTTTAGTGGGAGGCCTAGAAGTGTGTTACTCTAAAACTAAGTGAAGAGACTGCTGTCGTTTAGTCAGAACTTAAGGATGTCTTAACCTTCGACTCTACTCTTCACCAGTCCCTCCTTTGTGCTGAGGACATAGGCAACCTCGATGTTCTTGTGATTAGCTGAAATAACCTTTCCTTGGTATTGTAGCCTAGGAGGAAAAGTTTCCCTGTGACAACAGCTGTCAGTCATAAATCACCTATGTGTACATCCATTTATTATTAAATGGGGTGAGAAAATGAATGGGGCTTGTTACACTGTCCAAGTGGTTACCTCAAAGAGAACTTTGGCCTCAGGTTGCACACAGCAGGGGTAAACACTCATTTTCTGGAATCTACACCAGCTTTTGATGGGGCTGGGAACAGAGAAGAAGAGATCAGTGAGGCTGTCAAATGACATGCAGTAAATTGCCTCATTTCCTTGTCCTGAGGCTGTACCATCTGCGTAGGGGTGGCCGTCCCTTTTGTGAATCTCCCTTTTACTGGCATTCGAAATTCTAAGAAAAGTGCAGCCTATTGCATATTGCTCCCACAGATCATCACATCTTTTCTTTAAATTTATGTAACCCAGAATATCTGGTGGTGGTTAGATTATTTCAGATGTGTAAGATAATGCTTAACTTGGAGAAAAGCAATTCATCTGTCTAAAGAATTAGGGGAACTATGCCCGTCGAGGTGGTTTGCTTGTTAACTGACTAGAAAAAGAAACTGCTGTGCATGACATTCAGCATGGAGCCTTCCCTCCCATGGTCCCCCTGCAGTTTCCTCTCGGTATGAGTACCTGAGTTTCTTAAGACGATCTTTCGAGGAGGGGGGAAGAGAACTCCCATCTCAGGGTGACACTCTGGACTAAGCCAAACTTCTTCCTGGTCCGTCTCTGAATGGTGAGCAGACAAGACTTCAGTTCAGGAACACGACAGTGGCTTAGCAGTTACAAGAATCTTGTTAAAACACACCTTGCTTGGCTCTGTATCCAAACTTGAATATTGTGTTGGTCTGGGTTAGCACCTGGGAATTTGCATTACTAAACGAGTTCCCAGATATCACTGGCTGTTGATCTTGGGGTCACTCTGGTGAGCAACTGAAGTAAGTGATGTAGGACACTTCTAGGCAGCAGTTGATTAGCCAGTGGAATGAGTGTGTGTGTGTGTAGGTGGTGTTTTGTTTTTTCAGCACTGAAGATCAAACCCAAAGCCGTGACTATGCTAAAGAAGTGCTATTGGGGGCTGGAGAGATGGCTCAGAGGTTAAGAGCACTGGCTGCTCTTCCAGTTGAATTGCTGAGTTCAATTCTCAGCAACCTCCTGTAATGAAATCTGGTACCCTCTTCTGACGTGCAGGCAGAACACTGGGTACATAATAAATAAATCTGAGAAAAACAAAACAAAATTTATTAGCCCTGGAGTGACTTTGAAAGGCTCTTTTATAGAGCAGCCACATACTAGTATAGAAATAAACCTTGTTGCCTATTGTTTGTGGTAGCTTTTTATTGTAATGACTGGACCGAGACAGTCATGAACTTTTTCATATCAAGCAAGAACATTCTGTGTTATCTTGGCTGTTTTATGTTCTTGAAAGCAAATTTCATAAAGATAGGAAATGTTAGTATCAAAAACTCAAAAAATTATACTAATTGGCCAGGAACACTCCTTTTGCTTCTTGGTAATTCACATTTGGTAGACAAAATGTTAACTCATACCTGTCAAGAACTAAATGTCAGTGTATGAATTTACACTCTGATGTGAGTGCATGGTAGTCTGTCTGTATTAGACAAGTAATATGTGAAGCTATAATTGCCTAAGGAATGCTATGGAGAGAGTAAAGTGAATTCAGAGTCATAGTTCAAACAAAGCAGTGCTTACTAAGACTAAAAATCAACTGGTAGGCCGGGCGTTGGTGGCGCATGCCTTTAATCCCAGCACGAGGGAGGCAGAGGCAGGCGGATCTCTGTGAGTTTGAGGCCAGCCTGGTCTACAAAGTGAGTTCCAGGACAGCCTCCAAAGCTACAGAGAAACCCTGTCTCGAAAAACCAAAAAAAAAAAAAAAAAAAATCAACTGGTACGTCCACTAAGCTTTATTGAATCTAGAGCCTCTTGCTAAATAATATCCAATATCTTTTATAAGAAAGTATCACAAAATGATATGAAATAGGTTGGGCAGGTTTAGGTACAGGGACCCCCCAAAAGCTAATCGTCCTAATTCTTGTTATTGGCCAGAAGCCAGAAATGTTCTTGGTTCTGTCTTGTCTAGCGGTCAGGAATACAGAAAGGAGCTCTGGTTTCTTGTTAACCTTGATTTCTTAAATGAGCTCCTCTACCTGGAAGCCATGCTTGAGTGTGTGACTGAAACCCCAGTCCAGACACTAAACCCTCCTGGTCAACAGCTTTGGAGCTGCATCTCTGAGTTTTCATGGTGGAAATGGAGTACGATATTTCCCAATTTTTGTCTATCCCCTAGAGGATTTTAAGGTCTCAGCTTTTGAGGGAATGTCAGGTAGCTAGATAGGGATTAGTGGCCTTGGAGACCTTGAAGGATGGACCCCTCCCTCACAGTCAGCTTTAGACCCCACTTCCCATTTCCCTGCTAACATTAGGAAGGAAAACATGATCATAAGTCCCTTCTTAGGCTCCTAGAATGTGGAATAGCTCTGGCCCTGCTAGGAAACATGACCCAGTCTGCCTTAGAGGAGAGCATTGCTGTTTCCTCACTCATGTGGGCCTGTCAGTCACTGTCCAGAAATCCACCCCAAGGGAAGCTGATTTACTCAGAATCTCACTAAAGAGATGGGAGGAATAATTAACCCATTTCACCTTAGAGGAATTAGGTGTTTACCCTTCCCAGTAGACCCTCCCTTGGCGCAGCCACTTACACAACCTACCTCTGAGTGTAACTTCTTTTTATCCTTTCCTTTTGGATATTGTCCCAAAGCCTGAGTATGCTCTCCCTGACAGACATTCTGGGCTTTCTCTCTTACTGAAGCCCCCTCTTTACAGTGGAGATGCTGCCAGCTTCCATTGCTGAGCATGCCAGGTTCCACAGACCTAAATTCAGGAGACACGGCTTCTCTCTTTTCCATCTCCCTTCTCCCGGCAGCTGCTGTGAATTACAAACTCTAATAAATCTCTCTCTCTCTCTCTCTCTCTCTCTCTCTCTCTCTCTCTCTCTCTCTCTCTCTCTCTCTCTCTCTCTCTCTCTCTCTCTCTCTCTCTCTCGACAGGTTTCTCTATGTAGCTTTATAGACCAGATTGGCCTTGAACTCATAGAGATCTGCCTGCCTCTGCCTCCCAAGTGCTGGGATTATAGAATTGTCTGTTTTAAAACTATTTAGCAGGACTAAGAACTCAAAGGGGGAGTTTGGTTTGCCTGCAACACTGATTGGTATACTTGGCTTCTTGTTGAAGAAAAATTTGAGAGGTTGAGGATACAGCTCTGTGATAGAGTGCTCACCTGTTATGCTGAAATGTCCTGAGTTCAATCCCCCAGTACAGAAATAAAGAGGAGTCTGAAGTATAGCTACTACAACAGCGAGAATGGAAGGAACTCAAATTTTATAATGGTAATTAGCGTGCCCTTTCTCGGTATCAGGTTTTTCTCTATTTTTCACTTGTATTTGAATTTCAGTAAGAAATTTCAGTGTTAACTATTAAGTAAATTAAAACTAAAAGTCAAGCCAGCTGAGTAACAGGCAGGGTTAGGGAGATCACTCAGCAGGTAAAGCACTCATTGCTCAAAGACCTGGTCTTAGATTCCTACCATCCATGTCAAGAGGCAGGCGGATCTCTGTGAGTTTGAAGCCAGCCTGGTCTACAGAGCGAGTTCCAGAACAGCCTCCAAAACAATACAGAGAAACCCTGTCTCGAAACACCATCCCCAACAAAACAAAACAAAGGTCAGGCATGGCAGCCTGTCCCAGCATCTTAGCTGGGAGACAGAGACAGGAGGATCCCTAGCCAGCCATGCCAGTGGAACCAGAGCTCAGAATAAATGAGAAACTCTGTCTCAGTAAGGTGGAGAGTGATTGAGACAGCTAACATTGATCTCTGGCTGCTTCATTTACACAAAATATTTGTAAATAAAAGAATGCCCAGAATATTGGTAGAATTAAAGCTAACAGAGAGTTAGTGGCCTCTTCGTCACTGACATCCTCCACTCTTTCTGTGGTTGCCATTGAATTACATTTGCTAAAATAAAAATCACGTGGTTAGAATAATGAGGAAAAATTAAAACCAACCCATCAATCAAATAATTTGTTGCCAGGTGTTGCACGCCTTTAATCCCAGCCCATGGGAGTCAGAGGCAGGCAGATTTCTGTGAGTTCAAGGCCAGCCTGGTCTACACAGGGAATTCTAGGACAGCCAGAGCTACATGGAGAGACCTTGTTCTTGGGGGGGGGATGGAAATAATTTGCTATCATTAGATGAAAATTGTTCCAGATACCCTGGGAGAGGGGAGGAGGAAAAGGGGAGAGAACAGGGGAGAACTTTCTAAAAATTGGATCCCTGCAATTGTTTTAATTCTTTCAGTGTAATTTTGTTTGGATTTGACTTTGGCAAAACCGAAATCTGGAGCTGGCAAGACAGCTTAGCCTATTCACCTGAGTTCAGTCCTTAGGAATTCCTAACCTTTGAAGAGAAGTGACTCCTACAAACTGTCCTTTGACCTCCATATGTGCATCATGGCATATATAACCCTGTCCCCCAAGTAAATAAAACAAATGTAATTAATTTTTTAAAGGTACAAAATTATGATAAGGTTCAGATACATGATTCATTACTACAACAATACTAAGATTTTTTTATTGTTTTGTTTTTGAGATAGGGTCTCTCTCTGTATTCTTGGCTGGCTTGGAACTTACTATGTAGACTAGGCTGGTCTTGAATTCACAGAAATCAACCTCCCCCCACCTCTGGAATGCTAGGAGTAAAATCATGCACCATCATGCTCGACCCACTGTTGGTTATTTATTTATTTATTTATTTTGGTTTTTCGAGGCAGGGTTTCTCTGTGTTGTTTTGGAGGCTGTCCTGGAACTCACTCGGTAGAACAGGCTGGCCTTGAACTCACAGAGATCCGCCTGCCTCTGCCTCCCGAGTGCTGGGATTAAAAGGTGTGCACCACCAACATCTGGCTCCATTATTGGTTCTTAAAAGGTCTTATAAAGTTAAAGAACAAACAACATTAACAAATACTAATTGTTATGAAAAAAAGATTCGATGTTATGTCTCAATTGTTTCCCTTCTGAGAAAATACAGAAGTCGGCACTTGAGCACTTCCCTCCCAGGCTTAGCTGTGCTCACATTCTCAGAGTAACAAAGGTGGCCAGCACTGAATGGCTGATTAGCCATGACTCGAGTGATAACTAGACAGAGAGGAGATCCATGTGAAGCAGTCACCTAGAATGTCCCAGAAGGACAAAAATCTACAGAAGACTAGACCGAAGGAGAGCGTCTGATGTCCACCGGGAGATTCTGAGGGGAAAAAAGACTCGGAAGGGATCTGATGGGCTGTGTTCATGTGTCCCCCACCCCCAGTTCATACCCTGGAGTCGAGTTCCTAGCTTGTTGGTATCAGGAGGAAGGCCTTTGGGAGAGGACGAGGTCATTAGAATAGAACTAGCCTCGTGCATGAGGGAAAAGTTGCAAGAGAGACTGAAACTCTCTGGTCGCTCCCCTGAGGAGTCTGCAGCCCATTCAACTGCCATTTCCAGAACTTGACCATTGTGGCACCCTTAGTTCAGACTTCTAAGTGCAGAGCTATTGATAAGATCATGTCTATGGCAATTGATTACACAGGCCAAAGAAAGACGATAGCTTTTCCATTCAGAGATATCGTGGAATTTTGTAAAGACATTCATTCTCAGATTTGGGTTGTACAAGGTTCTGAAACAGAATTTCCTGAGTTAGGAGGCACCGTTTTGAGTTGCAGATTTCTTTATGTAATAATAGGTTTGCGGTCTTAAAGGAAAAGTCTGCATTCTCTTCTAAGATTTGTCAAGTGTCACCAAAGAGGGAAGGAGGAAGGAAAACTAGAGGTGAGAGGGTCCCAAGAATGGCCAGGCTCATATTCAGTGTGGGTGTGGTGTTCTAGGTAACATAACTGGAAGATGAGAGCAGAATGGTCTGATTTGGAAACAGGAGACTCCAGCAAGACCACTCAAATAGAACTGAGACTGCAAGGGCCTAGTGGAGCGGGGTCTGGTGAGCACACTCGAGGAGCAATTTCTGACCGATTCTACACTTGCTCTGTGGCAGCATGGTATGAGGATTTTGCCACTGTGCCTGTATGTCTGGTCTGGGATTTGAGGGTCTAGGTTTCTATACAATTTCCCTATAAAAATGTTAGCCCAGCTGGGCAGTATGGCACATGCCTTTAATCCCAGAATTTGGGAGGCAGAGGCCGGTGAATCTCCATGAGTTCAAGGCCAGCCTGGTATACAGAGTGAGTTTCAGGACAGCCGGGCCTGTTTCACATAAAAACCCTGTCTCAAAAAACAAAAAAGTTATCTCCTGTACTGGCTGGCATGTTTCAAGACTCAAAGGACCCTTCAAATCTTTTTTCTTTTTTAATGTGCTACTTTATCTTTCATTTTATTGTTTTACAAAGAAAGTAGTCTGGTGGTGGCATGCAATACTTTACAATTCCTGTTTTTTAGAGACAGAGAGGGAACCCTTATCCTCCATCAATAGATGAGAAGGCCTAGGAAGCAGTCTTTCCAGGGTCCTGGCTTCCCTACGCGTGGCCAGTGCACGGAGCTGTCCAAGGTTTTTCTGGCTTGGCCATACTGTTTCTGACCTTTTAAAGGAGCACACAGGAAGCGGGCAGAAGGAAAGGCCTTGCCTAAGGACAGAGTCCGGCTGCTTGGCTTCCAACCCCAGGACCAGCATTCTGCAGCTCCGAGACGTCGAGTGAGTCATATGTCTGTCTTTGCTTCAATTTCCTTATCTACTTCAGGTAGTGAGGAATTAGTCTACAAAAAGTATTTAATGCAGTGTCTGGCAAATAGGGGAAAGAATCTTCCGGTCCCTCAACTTCTGCCTCATAAGGATTTTAGATGCAGATTGTTTTGATCCTTGTAATTTTGCCCTGGTGTTCGGGAATACTTGGGGTGGGCAGTAAAAGAACGTGGAAAAATTACTCACAGAACTTTAAGATTCCTGGATCTAGCTCGGCATTAGATCGTGTGTGAGACTCTTGTTAGGGTAACTGAACTCGGTTTCCTCCTCTTGAAATAAAGCACTTTAACTCCGGGAATTATCTTCTATGTTCTGTGGCCTCTGGATCAAATTCCCAGCCCTACGCTCAACCCAGTCACCTGGCATCCTTGTTTATAAACTAGAGAAATAGAATTTTGGCACTTACCCTACCCTCCACCGCTAGCGCGTCGCAGCAGGGAGTATGCAGGCGACTAGGGGCCCGGGAGTAAGCCGCACCATGAGAACTAGGCCTGACGCGTGCCAGGGATCCAGACAGAGGGTGGCAGGAGCACTTCTTTCTGCAGAGCTTAAAGCCCTGCAAGACTCACCCGGAGGAGTTGTCTGTCGCACGGTGCTTCGCAGGAAACCCCTGCTCTGTTGGAAGGATTACGGGCTTGTGTCGCTGTCACTTAGAGGCAAGCAATGGGAAGGCTGGGTCGAGAGCGCACAGGAGCTGTTTTGGCAAGGTGCTCTGTTGTTGACTGGCTTTCTGCTGCGTCTCCGCCTCCAATCCTCGCTCTAGGAGGGATCTACTGTGCAGCAGGCCCAAACCCCCTCCCGGAAAGTCTGCCGTGGGTGCCCCCCCCCCCGCCACACTACCCACTCCCCTCCTCTCCGCTCCTCCTTCCTGGCTGCCATAGAAACCAGCCTGCCAGGTCCAGGCCGGCGCCGCGCCGCGGTGGCCATCCAGTCTCCTTCCCCGGCTCCCCAGAGCCAGCCCCCCGCTCGGGATTGGTCCTGTTCAGGACTCTGAGGGACACTCGGCTCTGGTGGCGGAGCCAGGAGCCGACAGGCAGCGAGCTGGGTTTGCCACGGCCCTGTGGGTCAGATCTGCTGCTCATCGCAGCTCGCAGAGCCTTAGGGGCCAGCCAGACGTCTGCGCCGCGGAACACCCACGAGCCTGCTCCAGTGCCTGCCACTCTGCGCGCGTCGCCTGGCCGCACAGCGAGCAACCCCAGGCGGCCTCCCGACCGAGGTAAGCGGGTGGGGGGCTCGTGGCCAGCGCCCGGGTCGCGCCAGCCTTGCCACCCCCAGGCTATGTGGTTAGAAAGAGGCACTTCTCCACGACAGCAAGTTCTGGTTAGCGGTGGCGGTGAAGTGGGGTTAGGAGAAGATTAAGGGGTCCTGGGGACGTCCACCCGGCCAATCAGCAAGCTGAAGGGGACACTGGCACCAGGGCGCGGACTCTCACCCCTGTGTGCAGGGGCCCTGGTCTGGGCGCTCGTGTGCACGCCTCTGTGTGTACGGTGCGACCACCGGTGTCTGTGTGCGTGCCCGCACGTGAGGCAGAGGGCAGCCGAGCGCCCCCCCCCCCGTGCTCACACCGGTTCCTCGGACCCAGGCGCCAGGCACCGGCCCAAATCTGTAAGTTTGTGACTGGGGCTGAGCATCTGTGTGACCTGGATTAGCAGTGGCAGCAACTTCTCCCAGGTGTGGCCCGGGAGAGGGGGTGGCACGAATCCTCAATGACAGCAGGCACCACAGTCCTGCCTAGAGAAAGGCGCTTCTTTAGGAAGACCCAACAAAGTAAGGAGGAAGTTCGTTGCTCTTGCTCTTCCCGGGTATCTCTCCGGGAGGTAGAGGACTTGGAGGTCCAACCAGGAAGGGACCTCAGCAGAGTCAAAACGCCTTCTGTAAGCAGAACACATTGGTTCCGATGGCAAGAGATGGATTATCCCCTTTCCCTCTCTTCCTCCTCCTCTCTTCCCTCTTCTTCACCCTTAGTCTCTCCCTTTTCCAGTTTCTCCCCCTCCAGAGTGTAGTAGACAAGAGCGCTCTATGTTGAACCCGCCCTCCCCCACCCCATGTCAAAATAAGGGCGAACGAATCACATTCTAAGTGCTCACCGTGTAAGTCAGACAAGTTTGGAAATTAAACAAATCGCGTTTGCACTGTGAGGCCTGGGCATCCAAAGGCAAACAAACAAAACCAGACGAGCAAAACATTCGTTCCGAGTTATGATTTCAAACGGGAATGTAAAGCGGGTGTTTGTTTATTGTAATAGAGATTTAAAAAATGTTTGAAAATCCGTATACACAGTTTGCATCATCAGCATTTAGTGTGATTCACAGAAACACTTGAGGAGATGGTTTCTGTTGGTGTTGCAAAAGCCCTTCTAAATTTTGGTTGCCATGGTAATCAAAGAAGGCGCTCTGCACTTAGGCTGCCTGGCTGGAACCAGGAACTATTCCTGAAGGGAACATGTCCCCTTTCGTCGCCACGGCAATAACCAAATTCATAAAAAGATATGCTTCTTTTCCTTAAAGTAGTTAAACTCTATGTCATGTTTTTGTGTTTTTTTTAAGTACCCCCCCAAATTTGCTGTTTGTACTTCAACCCTTCTCAGACAGATAAGAGTAAGCATTGACCCCAGAAAGTCACATGACCTTCACTCCCGAGGCGGGGGTGGGGGGTGAGGGGGGTGGGGGGCAGCTTTCTTTCCACACCAACAGAGGACAGAAGAGCTGTTTGATGTTCAAGGAATCCTGGCCTGGGACCAGACTGGCCTCTCTATTTAGTAGTTAAATTTGGAATTCTAATTAGCTTTCTAATTAGGAGCTGGATAATGTAGGTGGGGGACCTGGCAGAGGGTACTGGGGAACAAGCTGAGCCCAGCTCTTCACAGATTGGTGTTTGCTGGGCCGCTGAATGTGCTTAGTAAAGCTCTCATGCATTTATTTTTGGACTGACCACTATTAAGTGGTAAGCCTGGAAAAACTTTCAAGAAAGGCCTTTTTCTGTTAGGGAGGAATGCAGCTGGGATTTGGGGCTGAAGTCTGTGATTTTCCTTATTTGAGCTGCATTTAAAATAAACACAGGTTTATATGAATCTAAATGTCCCAGTCATGACTACAAATAGGTTACAGGACCCTCTACGATCTCATTTAGCTTTAGCTAAGCTTTTAGTATAGAAAGCTTAATTTGGGACAAACAGTGGAACCACACTTCAAACACGTTTGTCAGCAAATGTTGATGCCTTTAAAGATACAGTTCTTCAACATTTCTTTGATTTCTAGACATGGATCTCACACATTGGTAGCAAATGGAAAATTTGAAAGTTTCTAGCCTTACAGTGTCAAAAGGGGAAACCCAAAGATTTTTTTCCGAGTATAGTCATGTTGTCAGGCACATACAGAGCTTCATTTGGGGGATCTTACAAATATAGACTTAAATTCACCTTCAACCTGTATTTTTCTAGGACTGAAGAATCTTCATTCACTGTCAGACTTTCTAGAATTTCTAGAATTTTCTAGAATCTCAGAAGAAAATATTCAAGTCGCTTATGAGGTTAGTACTCTACAGCTGGAGTGGAGTCTACTATAGTTCTTAAATTACTTTGAATAGCTTCAAGGTTAGCTCAGCTGCTGCAATATAGAATATTGACCAGTTGTACAAGAGGGTAAGTTGCAGCCAAAAGAAATGATTTCAGTCAGCCACCTGGAGAATTAAAGCAAAAAAATATAAGTCACTTGGCAGGGCTTACAAAAATTGTTATCAGTCAAGAGTTAAAGCAAATTAGGATGAGGAGGAAGACGGAGAGGGGTGGTGGAAAGGTTTAGGACAGGGAAGAGAACAGCTGTCAGGGAAGTCTCAAGTTAGGAGAAAGCAGATCAGGGCAGAGTGAATGGAAGAGAACACTGAGGATAAAGAGGGTTGCACGGAAGGACAGCCAAGTTGCATAACCAGAGTCTAAAAAGAATTCCACTCTTCATTCTCAACTAGAGCACTGACACTTAAAAAAAAAAAAAGACTGATTTTTTTTTTTTTTTTTTTTTTTGGTTTTTACGAGACAGGGTTTCTCTGTATCGTTTTGGAGGCTATCGGTCCAGCCCAGCCTCGAACTCACAGAGATCGCCTGCCTCTGCCTCCCGAGTGCTGGGATTAAAGGCGTGCGCCACCACCGCCCGGCAAAAAAAGACTGATTTTATTCTTAACTAAGTGTTTGCATGCAGCAGGTGTGTGTGCACATGCCAGAAGAAATCAGTTGCCCTGGAGCTATTGTGAGCCGCCTGCCGTGGGTACGAGGAACTAAACTCAGGTCCTCAGGAAGACCAGTCTGTGCTCTTAGTCACTGAGCCATGTCTCCAGCTCCTGCTGCTTAGCAAAAAGATGAATTGTGACTTAGTCAGAGAACCCCTGGGGGGGTCTGGAGTGCCCAGGGAAGGGCCGTGCCGACCTGCTACAGTGGTGTAGGGGCCTGCAACTCTCTTTCTTCTTGGTCTGTCAAGCTAGATGCCTGCTAGACCAAACTTTAGGCCACCAGGAAGCTTCCTACTTATTATTTGTTAGATCATTTTAGACACACTTTCATTATGTGATTGCAGCTATTTTTTTTTGCTTTCAAAATATTGTTTAAATTGTCATCTAAATAATATGTTCATTAAATTTTTATCATTTAGGTCACATTAAAATAAAAGATTGTAATAACACTCAATTGTCAGCTTTTAGCAGTTTGATCACTTACCTTCCTAGATCCAAATTATCCTCTTAGGTTGCTGGATTATTTAGCAGTTTTAGACATAGTCTACTGAGTTACAATTATTATGGGTAAGGATTTAATTCTTTTGCTCCACTCCTTCCAACTCACTTCCTCCTTTTTTAAAAATATATAGTTTGTAGATGAAACTCAACTACATGCTCATCAGTAAAATAAGAGATCCTGCCTCAATCAAGGTTGGCAGGTGAGAACCAGTTCCTTTGGCTGGTCCCTGACCTCTGCACATGCTCTGTGGCATGTATTTTTTCTCTCTCTGTGTGTGTGTGCATGTGTGTGTGTGTGTGTTTCTGTCTCTCCCTCCTTCCCTCCCTTTCTCCCTGTATTTCTGCCCGCCTCCTGCTCCAACTTGCAGATAAGATGTGAGCTCTCAACCACTCAGCTACTGCACCAGCACCATGCCTGCCAGCCTGCCTGCCTACCGCCATGTTCCCTGCCATGATGGTCATGGACTCACCCTCTGAAACTGTAATCAAGGCCCCAAACTAGATGCTTTCTTTTGTAGGTCACCTTGGTCATGGTGTCTCTTCACACAGTAGGAGAGTAACTTAGACATCTCTGTCTTACAGAGTTTGTTACAATGGCTGGATCAATAGTATAAGAATATTCAGCACTACTTTTAATAAAAGTAGACTCTAGTATTCTTTGTGTTGTAATGAATAAAATGCTATCAATATTGACTTAACCCTAGCAAAAAGAATATCTACATTCAAATGTCTGTCCAAAGGTTATAGTGATATATATTCCTTTCTAAAACCTCATATATTATTCTTTAATTCTTTTGTCATTTTTTTTCTCGTATTCACTTGGTACCTACCATGCCCTTGCTTTCATTAAATGCCAGGATGTACTGAAGATATGAAGCAGAAAGCTAGTTTTATACAGTTTGAAGATAGTTTGTATATGAATGTGTTCAATGGGAGTATAGGTAACTTAGCAATTAACATTAAGTAAGTAGAGAGGAGAAAATAACGAGAAAACACTTCTCCTGAGAGTTCTGAATAGGGTTTTTTTTTTTTTTTTTTGGTGCTTTTCGAGACAGGGTTTCTCTGTATTGTTATAGGGGCTGCCCTGG